TATATCCAACAAGGGGTTAATCTCCATAATATATAAAGAACTCACACAACTCAACAACAAAAAAAACAAACAATCCAATCAAAAAATTGGCAGAAGAGGAGACATGAACAGACATTTCTCCAAAGAAGATATACTGATGGCCAATAGACACATGAAAAGATGCTCATCATCGCTGATCATCAGGGAAATGCAAATCAAAACTACACTAAGATATCACCTTACACCCGTTAGAATGACAAAAATATCTAAAACTAATAGCAACAAATGTTGGAGAGGTTGCGCAGAAAAAGGAACCCTCATACACTGCTGGTGGGAATGCAAACTGGTGCAGCCACTATGGAAAACAGTATGGAGATTCCTCAAAAACCTAAAAATAGAACTACCATACGATCCAGCCATCCCACTACTGGGTATTTATCCAAAGAGCCTGAAGTCAGCAATCCCAAAAGTCCTGTGCACCCCAATGTTTATTGCAGCACTGTTTACAATAGCCAAGACGTGGAAGCAACCTAAGTGCCCATCAACAGACAAATGGATAAAGAAGATGTGGTACATATATACAATGGAATACTACTCAGCTGCAAAACAGAACAAAATCATTCCATTTGCAATAACATGGATGGACCTTGAGAGAATTATGTTAAGTGAAATAAGCCAGCGAGAGAAAGATAATCTGTGTATGACTCCACTCATATGAGGAATTTAAAACTATGGACCAAGAACAGTTTAGTGGATACCAGGGGAAAGGTAGGGTGGGGGGTGGGCAGAAAGGGTGAAGTGGTGCACCTACAACATGACTGACAAACATTAACGTACAACTGAAATTTCACAAGATTGTAACCTGTCAATAACTCAATAAAAAAAAATAATAACAAAAAAAAATAGGGAAGAGCAATGAATTTGTAAATATTTTTTGTGGGTTTTCCACCGCAACGAACTCTTACTCCAGTATCTTTTTCACCAACACTTTGTTAAGAAAGTTTGAAACACTCATTTTACTGCAAAAAAAAAAAAAAAAATGGCAGAAGATATGAACAGGTATTTTTCCAAAGAAGATATACAGATGGTCAATAGGCACATGAAAAGATGTTCAACATCACTAATTATTAGGGAAATGCAGATAAAAACTACAATGAGATATCACCTGACGCCTGTTAGAATGGCGATAATTACCAAGACAAAAAATAACAAATGTTGGAGAGGGTGTGGAGAAAAAGGAACCCTCATACAGTGCTGGTGGGAATGCAAACTGGTGCAGCCACTATGGAAAACATTATAGAGATTTCTCAAAAAATTAAAAAGAGAAATACCATATGACCCAGCTATCCCACTACTGGGTATTTATCCAAAGAACTTGAAATCAACAATTCAAAGAGGGGCCGGCCCCGTGGTCGAGTGGTTAAGTTCACATGCTTCACTTCGGCGGCCCAGGGTTTCGCTGGTTCAGATCCTGGGCGCAGACATGGTACGGCTCATCAAGCCACCCTGAGGCGGCATCCCATATGCCACAGCTAGAAGGACCCACAACTAAAACAAATATACAACTATGTACCGGGCGCGCTTTGGGGAGAAAAAGGAAAAATAAAATCTTTAAAAAAAAAAAAAAAATACAAAGAGACTCATGCCCTATGTTCACTGCAGCATTATTCACAATAGCCAAGATGTGGAAGCAACCCAAGTACCCATAGACTGATGATTGGATAAAGAAGATGTGGGGTTATATATATATATATATATATACAATAGAATACTTTTCAGCCATAAAAAAAAGAGAAAATTGTCCCACTTGCAACAACATGGATAGACCTTAAGGGTTTTATGTTAAGTGAAATAAGCCAGGCAGAGAAAGACAAACACCGTATGATTTCAGTCACATGTGGAAGATAAACACATGGATAAAGACAACAGATTATTGGTTACCAGAGGGGTTGGAGATGGGCAAAAGGGTTAAAGGGGCACACTTCTATGGTGATGGATAAAAATTAGAGTATTGGTGGTGAGCACGATGCAGTCTATACAGAAACTGATATCTAATGATGTACACCTGATATTACACAATGCTAGAAACCATTATAACCTCAATGAAATAACTGAAAGGAAAAAAAAGAACAGGTGTGACCAGGGAGGAGACGGATGTCGTCAACACAAAGAAACTGGAATGATTACATCTTAAAAATCATCAAAAGGACAGTCGTACAACTCTGTGAATATACCTAAAACCACCAAATTGTATACTTGGAGTGTGCAAATCATATGGTATGTGAATTATCCCTCAAGAAAGCGTTATATTTTTTTAAATTATACAAAGGAAACAATTCATACTCTATTTCAATAAAAAGTGGTTTCTCCTTAAAAGGAGCTCTCGTTAGGAAGAGGTGCACGGTGAAGAGAGCTGAGGCAATGTGTTCCAGAAGGAGCCAGGCTCTGTATTCCCCTCTTGGGCCCTCAGTTTCCCCATCTGGAGGCAGGAGAGCACAGGGGGAAAGAGCGTGAGGTAAGGAACTAGAGAAACCTGGGCTTCAGTCCACCACCAACTAGAGCGAGACCTAACTTCTTTGAGCTTCCATTTCCCCATCTGCAAAATGGAGGTGATAACAGCAGGCACACTTGAAGATTCCAGGGAGCATTTAAATGCGGTAATACAGGTAAAATGCTCTGGACACTGCCTGGCACCTGAGCTCGATGATGAGTCTCGAGACAGCAGGGGGAATACTGTCTCTCAGCTTGCAGAGGAGTCTGTGGAGGTTAAAGTGGAGTAGACCTGCAAAGCTCTCAGCAGTTCCCAACACAGTGTCCGCACGGGCTCAGGATGTTTCAGCCCCACTAGTCCTGACAGCAGTGATCCATCCACAGATCTGAGGAGCTGCCCTCAACAGACAACGTCCTCTTCAAAACGTCAAGGGAGTTAAACAGATATTTGACACAAGACGAAAGCCAGGCCACAAATCAGTGGAAAAATTCACTGCCTTCCTGGAAGTTTAAAAAACCTTAAACGGCCACAGTGAAGGTACTTTATGAACATGTTAAACTGGAAAAATTGAATTGAAAACATGTAGTGTAGAGTTGGTGGGGATATGAGGAACCAGCTGCATCACTGTAGTTTCCTCTTTCTCCAGGTCTCCCGTCTGGTAAAGTGCCGTCACGTTGTAGGAGGTACTAAGCCACTCACTTACTCCACCTACTGACCACAGGGTCTGGAGACAAGTCACAAAATTTGAAAAGAATGTTGTCTGACCAACGATTTTTCACAGTAGGTCCATTATGGATAGGAAAAAAAAAAGAAAGAAAGAAACCACTTTAATATCACCCAAAAGGCAGGGGGTAAAAAAACCAGAATATTTGGGAGCTTTTTTAAATGGCCAGCAGTGGGCCACTTCAATACTTTGAAACTGTGTGACCACAGGTTGTCTGTTTCTTGTTTATACCTCTGCAAAAAGGTCATGGAAAAACATGATGGAGAAAGACAAACAGATGAGAATAATTTTCAGGAGTCAGTGCAGCATAACAGCTAAAAGCATGGACTCTGGGTTCAAATCCTGGCTCTACTGCCAATCAGCTGTGTGACCTTGAACACCTCTCTTCACCTCTCTGTGCCTCAGTTTCCTCACCTGGAAAATGGGGATGATAACAGTACCTATCTCAAAGAGTTGCTGTGAAAAGGGAACGAAATAAGACATGTAAAGACATACAGACGCATGACAGGAACACAGGAAGGTGCTTAATGTCACAAATCATCAGGGAAATGCAAAATCAAAACCACAATAAGATATCACTTCACACCTGTCAGAACGGCTATCATCAAAAAGACAAGTGATAACAAGTGTCGGTGAGGATGTGGAGAAAAGGAAAACTCGTGTGCACTGTTGGTAGGAATGCAAATTGGTACAGTCACTATGACCAACACTACGGAGCTTCCTCAAAAATTTACAAATTTTTTTGTAACTACCATATGATTCAGCACTTCTGGATGTTTATCCCGAGAAAATGAAAACACTAACTCGAAAAGACATCTGGATTCCCATGTTCATTGCAGCATGATTGTCAATAGCCAAGATACGGAAACAGCCTAACCTGGATGAAGAAGATGTGGTACATATACACAATAGAATGCTACTCAGCCATAAAAAGACAAAATTGTGCCATCTGCAACAACATGGATGGACTTGAAGGCATTGCGCTAAGTGAAAATCAGACAGAGAAAGACCAACACCGTATGATCTCACTTACATGCGGAATCCGAAAAACAAAAAACTCAGTTCACAGATACAGAGAAGAGAGTGGTGGTTGCCAGAGGCGGAGGAGGGGTGGGGGGGAAATGAGTGAAGAGGGTCAGATGGTACAAACTTCCAGTTATAAAATAAATAAGTCATGGAGATGTCGTGTACAGCGTGGTGACTACAGTTACTAATACTGTATTGTATATTTGAAAGTTACGATGAGAGTAGAGGAAATTCTCATCATAAGAAAAAATAACTTTGTAACTACTAGATTTATTGTGGTGATCATTTCGAAAGATACAAATTTGGAGTCATTACGTTGTACACCTGAAACTAATATCATGTTCTATGTCAATTATACCTCAATAAAAAAAAGAGCAAAAAAATAGATATATCACGTTCCCTGACACATGAAAGTACTCGATACATACTAACAATTACTCTTCTGCAAAGCTGACTCAGTTCCTAAATTCTAAGTCTTAAAAATGGAAGAAAGCAGAGAAAGAGATTAAGGAAGGAGGTAACGAGGAAGCAAAAGGAACAGTAAACACACTTGTCAGATGGCACATCGTGGTGTGGCATAAGGAGCACTGAGGAGGGTCAGCAAGCCCAGGCATGGGTGTGGGCTCAGCAAAGGCTGGCTGTGTGACAGTGAGCAAGGCACGTTCCCTCTCTGAGCCTGGGTTTCTCACATCCAGCCCTTTACAAGTTCTATGTTTCTGGAGAGAAGAGCAAAGCGGTAGAAGACGGTAGCGAAGCTCTAGGACCCAGACGCCCACTTACCCGAGCAAGAGGGGCAGCAGTCCCCGGGGGGCACGGAGGGGTCGGAGCAGGCCGGCTGGCAGGGGATCCTCTCACAGGTCACCTCTCCCAGCTGAGGAAGCAGAAGGACACACACGAGGAAGCCCAGGGCATCTCATCTGCCCAGAGCAGCCCCCGCAAGGGACCCACAGAAACATCCCAGAACAGTGGCTGCAGTGCCTCATGAAGCCAAACACAGCGGGGCCACCTTAAGGAAACCCCAAAGAGGGAGGGGACCGGCAAATCCACGGGTATGCCAGCAGGTGATAAAGTTGAAGAACCACAGAAGGAAGCTGGGCTTCCGTTGGCTAAGGGGCTCCGAGTTTTGCAAAGGGACGAGAGGCAAGAAGGAGCCTCTGGCCGCGCAGCTCCAGGTGTCCCAGAGCCAGCTCACCTGGCACGTGCACTGGGTACAGGGCTCATCGTCCAGGGTGAACACCTGCCCATTCACCACCTTCCTTCCCTCATAGTTGCAGTCTGCAGGGGCAGAGGACACAGGGGCGCGTGAGCGCCAAGGCCCACCCAGGGGCCTCGAAGGTGGGGCAGCCGGTCCCACTCACCTCGGCACACGGGGCAGCACTCGCCATCAGGGTGGAAAGGGTAGGTGCAGGTGACGGGACAGTCCACGGGCGAGCAGGCCACTGAGCCCAGCTGCAGGACACAGAAAACGCACAAGGCCCCTTCGTTATGGGCGGCTAATGGGACTCTCGGGAAAGACAGGTCACACAGCCATTGAGTGCCCTTCAGAGCCACATGGTCATCTCCCTGTGCCTCGGCTCCCACCTAGCAGATGGAGATGATGGTGGTACCCAAAGATAGGATTCTCGTGCTGATGGAGTTCATGCATCTGAGGGGCTGAAAGCAGGGACCGGCACAGTGAGAACTCGGTAATGTGAGTTTATTAAAGATGCCAGTACCAAGTCCTGGGCTTGCGTCCTTCACCTGCACCCCCAGGAAGAACCCCTGGGCCACACTGTACACCGTAAGGAGCCGGCCCCCAAGATGCCCCTGGTCACCCAGAAGCAGAGGATTTTTGCTGGCAGGGCAAAGATGCACCCTGGGCGGGGCTGGACAGAGCTGACTTTCACCATGACCCAGAAGTGACCTTTCTCTTGGAGGCCTCTGGATTTTGCCTCCAGGGTTCAGGAGCTGATGGCAGTCCCTAGGGAGTTTCCGCAGACAGGGTTCAGGTCTGAGTGGTCCGTACCAGGCAGATGCAGCTCAGACACGGGTCCAGCACAGACGGGAAAGTCTGGTTGTTGTAGAAGATTCTGCCTGTGTAGGTGCAGCCTGGCAGAGAGAGCACGAGGTGAGCGCCGGCCAGTGACCAGGCTCCCGCCAAGGCGAAGCTCCACAGCTTATCTGGGTAGCAAAGGTCAGGCTAACTGGCTCCCCAGGCAGGCACCCCAGGGTTGGGGAAGAGACACAACACACGTCTGGATTGGGTGCTGACTTTTTCCATGCTGGATTCAGCAAGGGGATCAAAGTGTCTTCATTTCAGGGTTCTCCCCACAGCAGCCTCAGGCCAGAGGAACTGGGAGACACTACTCGGGTGCCAGGCACCACGGCCATCCTCTCTGCTCCTCCCCGCTCAGCCAAACCCCAGACCTTCCAGAACCTTCCCCCATACCTCTCCCGTCTCTGCTTCTCATGCCACCTTGATGACATTTATCACATACGGGCCAGTATGGAAGCAGGTAATGGGAGAGTAGGGAAATATTTTATAAGAAAAAAAATATATATGTATTATATGTTAGATATAGATATCTGTTATAGATACAGATGTACAGATACAGACACATAGACATAGACATACAGATTTAGATACTGGTATATAACGAAAAGGGACTAGAGAGGCTGGCCCCATGGCTGAGTGGTTAAGATTGTGTGCTCCGCTTTGGCAGTCTGGGGTTGGCCAGTTCAGATCCTGGGCACAGACCTACACACCACTCATCAAGCCATGCTGTGGTGGCATCCCACATAGAAAAACTAGAATGACCTACAACTAGGCTATACAACCATGTACTGGGGCTTTGGGGAGAAAAAAAAAGAGGAAGATGGGCAACAGATGTTAGCTCAGGGCCAATCTTCTTTAAAAAAAAAAAAAGAATGAACTTCGCATCCTTCCTCCCCACCGAAAAAAAAGGGACTAGAAAGACAAAACTATGAGGTTAAAAGTGATCTGGGACCCTTTTTATTTTTTTTTTTGATTTCTGTATTTTCTAAATGTTCTATAATAAAATATTACTTTTGAAATCATGGAAAAGGCAAAAATTACCATTAAACATAAAGTGTAGGGGGCTGGCCTGGTAGCAGAGCAGTTAAGTTCACACGCTCCGCTTCAGTGGCCCAGGGTTCGTGGGTTCGGATTCAGGCATGGACCTACACACTGCTCATCAAGCCATGCTGTGGTGGAGTCCCACATACAAAATAGAGGAAGACTGGCACAGATGTTAGCTCAGGGACAGTCTTCCTCAAGCAAAAAGAGGAAGATTGGCAACAAATGTTAGCTCAGGGCCGATCTTCCTCATCAAAAAAATAAATAAAGTATCATTTTTATTCTGTCTCCCTGTTCTCTGACCACAAGTATGGTTCCTTTACCTTCCCCCACCCCCACATAGGCTGTGAGCTCTGCATATCTTCATAGCTGCTTCCAGCACCCAGACTGGGCCTGCCTTGGGCAAATGGACATCTCTGAGCCTCAGTTTTCTCACCTGTAAAATGGGGTTGCCCCTTGGGGTTGTTGTGAGGATGACCTGAGGTGAAGAATGTGTGGTGCTTTCCCCAGAGGAGCCTGGATGCGGGGGCTCCCCGAGAAGCCCTGCTTGTTGGACCACCCCCTCTCATCCCGGGACAGGGAATTACCTGCTGAACAGTCAGGGCAGCACTGTCCAGGGATCCGAATCGGGTGAGGGCAGGAGTCCACGCAGTCTGTCCTCCTGCAGCTCACTGAGCCATCTGCCTGGAGGAAGGAGGGCCTTCACCCAAACCCCACCTGTGACCCCAGACCCCGCCTCCCCACCCCGTTCCACACCCCCAGCCCCTACTAGAAAGGCAACGCTGCAAACAGGTCAAGGCTTGCCCTGAAGGGCGCCACGCTGCAGCTGGGAGGAGGGAGACCTCCCCGGAGAAGGACTAGCTTCTCGGGAAAGGGGGTGGGGGTGGGGGGTGAGCCTTCCAGAAAGGCTTCGATATCCAAGGAGAGGGAAGGTCAGGGCTGGGTTTGGTCTCCTCGGCTTCCTGTCCTCTCCAGCAGCAGCTAAGGCTGCACCATCACCCCCTCCAAATTCTTCTCTCAGCATTTCCCTGGAACCCTGGCTCACCCCAAACTTATGGAGTACAACAAAATCCTATTTTTATAGAAAACTATTCCACCGGAAGTGTCTATTTCAGCAGACGAAAGCACCATACACAGTTTCTTTTTTTTTTTCCTAAGAATATCAATGTTTATGAAACTTTTGTGTTACTTTCTTGTAATACGAGTGCCCTCGATGAGTCATAAAGGAGAAAAAAAGGCCTCGAATGCACTTTCCTCCCAACTCTGATTCCAATGAAATGCTCCGAGTTTTGCAAGGTCTAAGGCACATCAAAGTACTTGAGAGCTGTGCTCCCACGCTAATGTGCGCACGAGTCACCGGGGGATTAAAATGCAGATTCTGAGTCTGGGCAGCCTTGAGATTCTGCACATCCCAGGCTCCCGGCTGACGCTGACGACACTGCTGGTGCAGGGACCTCATGTTGAGAAATAAAGCTCTAAGCTCTAAGAGAGTAAACGCTCTTTTAAAGTACAGCCATGCATCACTCAACGACGGGGATGCAACATGAGAAATGCATTCTTAGGCAATTTTGTCCTTGTGTGAACGTCACAGAGTGTACTGAAGGGAAACAAAATTTGCCACCCCAAAATGCGTCCCTTTATCAGGAGAATTATTTTAGGCCGATTATTTTTTTAAGAAACAAAAGACTCAACAGTTTTTCTTGTTACCTCCCTCTGAACTGCCTAAAAGAATTCAGATTAAAAAAACCTATCTCAGGAAGTGAGCGATCACCTTAGCATAATATGAACTAGGTGGTAGGGAAGAACCCAGAAAAGCCTATTTATTGGGTTCCCATCTATTCTTCTGTTTCTGTGTGGCCAAACACTTGTTTTCCAAATGTTTGCCCCTTTTCATCCACCTGTGAATTGCCTCTCTTCCCTTTGAAGCCCCCGACCCTCCCCACCCCCAACATCTTCTTTTGTCTTTAGCTGAGGATGGTATTTAAGGTGACGGCTTCAGCCACTTTGGCGAGTTACCCGGTTTTCCTGGGTTTCTCCCATGTATACATGTTATTAAACTCTTGTTTGTTTTTCTCCTGTTAATCAGTCTCATGTCAATTTAATTCTTAGGCCGGCCAGAAGAACCTAGAGGGGAGAGGAAAATTTCTTCCTCCCCTACAGCACTTACACAAACCTAGATGGCCTAGCTTACTCCACATCCAGGCTACACGATACTAATCTTATGGGACCGCTGTCCTATATGCGGTCTGTCGTCGACCAAAACACCGTTATGCAATGCATGACTGTAGAAAGGAAAGTCAACGTGTACTTAATGAGCTAAAACAATCGTGTTTCTTGACAAGTAGCTGTGTTTGCATTTCTGTCGATCTGACTCTAAAATTCACGCATCCTCTCCTTATCCATTTATGACGAGGTGAAGTCGCACGGTTCACGTTAATGAAGGAAACACTGCAATTTCACAGAAAAGGCCTGAACGACTAGACCGCCGCTGTCCCAGTGCCCTCAGTTATCCGTGCCCGGGGAAAATCTGCTAATAGGACTCCTAATTCCATCTCCTTATACCAGCGCTCCCGGCACAAGCACAGTTCTTAAGGGAGCCTGCCCAGCTCTGTTGTCCCGAAAAATCTACCAAGACAGAATAAACTGGATCCCAACCCATTCAGTAAAAATGGAACTTGATAGCATGGGAGGGAGACTGAGGGCAGGCCTGAGATGGCCCAGCTCCTGGAGGGGCAGGGATGCTGGCCCCGGAGGGCCCCAGGGAGGTGGGGGACAGCCAGGAAAGCAGCTGAAGGCGCGCAGGTTGTCATTCACCTGGCAGATGCATAACTCACAGGGATCACCAGGAGACCAGATCTGTCCAATGGGAAACTCGACCCCGTTGTCGTCAAGAGAGCAGCCTGGCCAGGGGACAGTGAGGGAGAAAGGCCAAGTGGGCAAAAGTGCCGAGGAGAGCCCTGAATGCCCGCAGGACCTGCAGCGCCGCCCTACCAAGGACAGACACCTCTGCTCACTCAGGCTGTGTAGATGGCTCCCGGGGTAGACATGCACCGACCTTCTTGGACCCAGGGGATGCCCACAGCTGCCAGCCTGGCTCCCTTGTTTAGTGGATTTTCCCGCCAAACAAGCACCTGGTATATGTGGGCACCCTCACACAAACACACACTTACATATACACCCACAAACACATGCATTCACATGCACAGAAACCACTCACACGCAGGCACACTCACACAGATATAACAGACATACACACAGACAGCACTCACACACAAATACACTTGCAGACACGCACGCACACCGAGTCTCAGTGGGTGAAGCCCAGCCTCGCTCCTCACAGGCATCCAGGCCCTGTGTCGGGGGCAGCCCTGGGCTGCAGGGCGGGGCAGCCCTCACCTGTCATGGGCGCGGGCTCCCTGCAGGTGAAGCAGCACTGTCCAGGGCCCAGCCACCACTCCTCGCGGGGGCAATCCAGTTCCGGACACGGCGTGAAGGAACATTCCACCTCCCCACTCTGAAAGAGAGCCAAGGAGCATGCACCAGGGAGGGCGCCATCACCCTCCCAAAAGAGACAAAGAAATCAGCAGCAGGGGGAGGAAGGGCGAGTCCTTCCCTGGAGGCTGGGGTGAAGCTGGGAGAGAGTCCTGGGGATGTGCTGGCTATTTGGCTAGGGGGATGCCGGCCTGTCCTTGCTGCAGCCCCCAGCATCTCCTCCCCTGACCTCTGCAACAGTTTCCTGCTCTCTCTCCTATCTGCTCTCACTCTGCAGCCAGAGAACTTTTTCATGCACCAATCTGATCGTATCACCCACCACTTAAAACTCTCCCAGGGCTCTGCCAGGTCCTAAGCCCTCTGCCTGGCTGGTAAAGCCCGCCATGACTGAGTCTGAGGAAGAGGCCGTCGCCCCCACAGACGCCCTCCCCTAAGTAGCCCCTGGCTGACGGGGGCAGCATCCTCCAGGTGCCTGGATGGTTCCTTCACCCCCACTCGCTGGGGAGCAAGGACAGCTCCCCGGCCTCTGGACACGCCCATCTCTGCTGTGCAACTCACACTCCCCAGCTCCCATGGAATCAGCCACATACCCCGTCTTCGCCTGTCCTGCTTCCCTCGCTGCTTTCTCCTGAAAGCACGCCGGGAAATCACTTCCACAGGAATGCCCCCACCCCCGCACCGGCCCTGCTTCTCAGAACGTAACCCAAACGCGATCTCTGCCTGCAGCATCTCTTGCCTCGACTCCAGTCTCTCTCAAGTTCTGTGCTCCAGCCAGAATGGACACCTTCAGGCCTCAGAACACACCGCGCTCTCTCCCACCCCTGCCTTCTGCCTCTGCAGGGCCCTCTGCCAGGAACACCAGCCTCAGCTCCTCCCCTGATTAGTCCGAGTCTTCCTTCAGGTCTCCACTTAGCATTCCTCCCTCCAAGAAGGCTTCTGGTTAGGAGCCCTGGTCCCCTGTTCATGGCCCACTTAGACTCTGGGCCCCCTGACAGAGGGGACTGGGCTTTCCTGTGCTTAGCCGTGTCCCTGGCACTTGGCATTGTTCCAGGCACACAGTAGGTGCTCTAAATAGCACTGCTGAAGGATGAACTTCAAGGGGACTGTGGTGAAGGCAGGTCCCTTTAGTTCCTTTGCTGCCTCAGTCTCCCTTTTGCTGCATGGCAGCTCCTCTTCTGGTCAAGGCATCCTGGGAAAATCCTGAGCCCTGCCCCCTCCCCATCACCCACTCAGTCAGCCCCCTACCTGGCAGACACAGGTCGTACATTCGTCACCAACCCCACTGAACACGGCCCCGTCCGCATACCATCGGCCGTGGAAGTAGCATGTCACTGCGGAGGAGAAAGGGAGAGCAGCTCAAGGTCTTTGGGCTGAGAAAGCTAAAGAAAAAGGGGAACAAATGGGTGGGGGGGCCCTCGGGAAGCTAACCCTCCCACAACCTCCATGGCACATCCCGCCCCCAAGAACCTACTCACTTCCCCCCTCCGAACCCCCAACAAAAATACGCTATTACTTAAAAACTGACAGAGAATGAATCACACGGAAAATAAGATCCTTAACAAAAAAGGCAGGGGAAGCCCCGAATAATTAAATGCAGGAGAAAAGAAGAAAGGAAAAAAGACGGCCCCCAACACCTCAGACAAGGTCTGGGAATGACGCCATCCCCTGGAGGCTGGGAGGATTCTGTGAGAGCCTCTCACCCGAAGATCCTCCACAGGTAAAAAGAAAAAAAAACAGCCTAAAACCTGGCCAGGTCCACCCAGCTGTAGTCAGACTGCCCTGGGTTCAAATCTCAGCTACATGCTCATTAAGAAGCAACTTTAAGGGGCTGGCCCCGTGGCCGAGTGGTTAAGTTCGCGCGCTCTGCTGCAGGCGGCCCAGTGTTTCCTTAGTTCAAATCCTGGGCGCGGACATGGCACTGCTCATCAGACCACGCTGAGGCAGCGTCCCACATGCCACAACTAGAAGAACCCACAACGAAGAATACACAACTATGTACCGGGGGGCTTTAGGGAGAAACAGGAAAAAATAAAATCTTTAAAAAAAAGAAGCGACTTTAAGATACTTAAGCTCTCTAACCCTCAGTCTGTACAATGGGGTCGTAACAGTTCCCACTTCCTAGGAACTGTGTTGCCTATTCCAAAAATGTTTTAATTCAAAATCATATGACATTTCAGAGTTCAGAGAGGAATATTTAAAAAGAACACCAGCTTTGAAACCAGGGACACTTGAGTTCAAGCTCTGCTCCTTTACTAACTGGATGGGTGTCTTTGGGCCAGGACTTGGCCCCTCTGAACGTCAGTTTCCTCATCTATAAAATGGAGCTATGAAAAGAGCTCCCTCAGAGCTGTGTCATCCGGATCCAATGAGATCAAGGGCTGGCAAGCGCCCCACACCACAGGCACAGAGCCGGCAGGGACTATTCGTAATGGTGATGAGGTCATAGCGGGAAAAGAGAACCACATTTCCAACAAAGGACCGACTCATTAGCGGGGAAGAGGAGACCCCCCTCCCAGTCTGCCCAGACAGAGCACTGCCAAGGGTGGACTCCAACCCCTGCCTGACTGCGTTGAAGTTGCCGCCCAGGGCAGGGGGCAAGCCAGGCTGTGAGCCCAGTCTAGCATCCGAACCACTGTGTGCACAGTAGGTGCTCAATTAAAACAGGCATTTTTGAAATGCTTCCCTTGAGCTGAGTTTCTAAAGCAGAAATCAATCTCCCTCTCTCCTCCACTCACCTCGCCCCCAAAAAACACACTCAAAAGACACCCCTCCCACACACACACACACACACACACAGAAAAAGGCGAAATTCTCCCCACCCCACCCCCCAGGAGTCCTTACCTGGAACACAAGTACAGCAATCCGACTTCGGGGAGGTCTGACAGGGGCCCGGAGGACACTCCGGGGAGATGCAGGACACATTCCCAGCCTGAGGAGGGACAGATGGCGGAGGGTGGGGGAGGGGAAGGAGAAGCCCCAGCTCCGTGGCCCTTCAGGCCCATCAAGAGCCAGCTCATTCCATTGCCCGCCACACCTCAAGTTTCCTGTCCAACACGACAGCCTCCCGAAGGAAGCCATCCAAGACCTTTAAATGCCACCGTGGTCACCAGGACAGTCTGCAGGGGCTGTTCCCGGTCTTTATTAAGGTGTGGCTTAGAACAACCCCCTTTCCAACTCGCAGGGCAGACGGGAGAGCAGAACACGCTGCCTTCCTTGTGAAGACCAACGTGCCTCGCCTTCCACAGCACGCCCTTTCATGGCATATGGTGGAAGGATGCCGAGCAGCAGAGAACAGACATTCCTCCACCAGACACCTTCCTGAGCCTCTGCGTTTTGAACCAAGTGACTATATTGGCTATTCAAAGCATTAAATTTAAAACACAATTTTAAAAATTTGAAATTAAGACCAAAAAGCCTCCGGCTTTGGAGCCAGCCAGACCTGAGTTCCAGCGTCTGCTCCTCCACTCAGGAGTCGTGTGACTTTGGGCAAAGTACATCACCTCTCTCAGCCTCGGTCTCGCTATCTGTGAGCCGAGCTGCAAGCCGCACCTCTGTCGGGGGTTGCTGAGGATCACATGAAACGAGATGATCCCAGAAAGGGCTTGGCCGCTGCACATGTGCGGCACACAGGAAGCGCTTAATAAAAGATGGCAGTGGCTGTCTACGTACCCCCACCCTCACCCCAGCCGCCTTACATTGCAGCTTCCACCATCGCTGCCAGACCAGGGGCTGCTTTTAAAGATGGTCTGAGGGTGGCAGTGGACAGAGCGCTGGTGGACAGAGCCCGGGCTTTGGATACAGGCAGACCTCAGCTCAAATCCCAGCCTCAGTCTTTCCCAGTAGAATAGGGACCATAAAGCCAACCCTGAATAGCTGCCAGGAACCTCAGAGGAGGAAAGAGATGAAAAGCACCAAGCCCCATGCCTGGTACACACCGGGTGCTCATAATAGAATCCCTGTGACAGCATCTGGCAGTGTCTGGCACATAGTAGGTGCTTAATAACTATTCTTGGAGGACTGAATCTGCCTAAAGCAAAACATTCTTAACAAGCTGAGTCTGGTAATGAGCCTTCTCCCTCCCAAATGTGGATGCCTTTATTGTGCTGGCAAATATTTTGCCTGGAGAGAAAAACAGGCTCCCCAGTGGGAAGTTTCCAAGGGAGTTTCATCCACTCCCCTTCCTAGACAGATGGACCCTGTCTGCCTGTTGGCTCCCTTCTGCTCAGCAGAAGCTTCCCTAACTCCACAGACCTGTAGCGTTCGCATTTCCCCCATGCTTTAAAAGTCGACAGGTTCCGACCAAAATCCACAACCTGAGAACTCTCCCTCCGTTCAATAGGCTCACCTTTAACATCGGGTCTTTCCCCTTCCTCTAAACCCCCAAAGGTTAAGAAAACACCCCTGAGGCTTCAGGGATCCTGCGATACTCACCAGGCAGACACAGACGGTGCAGTTCTGGTTGGGAGGTGAAAACACATCCCCTTCGGCTCGGATGACGCCACTGTGAAAACAGCCTTTGAAAGACAAACAGGAGTGGAGGCATCAGACCTCTTCAAAGGAGAGGAAGCTTGAGGTCTCATGACTTTTCCAGGCAGAATGTACCTGGAACCTTCTCTCACTGGCCAGGATGCCCCAGAAGTGGCAGATCCAAGTACCCAGAACCGTGTGGTCCTAAGACCCCTGGAGAACTAGCAGGAGCCACCTGCATAGGATGCCCCAGGATGGTTCCATTCGTGTCTCATAAACCCAGAACTGTATTGAGAGCCTGGGTTTTTATTCCCATACGGCAGGAAAAGCAATCAGACAGCTCTGGGTTCAGAACCTGGCCTGCCCCTTCAGTTACCGAAGTGGCCTTGGACATGTCACTTAACCTCTCTGGGCCTCAGTTGTCTTTACCGTAAAATGGAAATACCACCATGTGCCCTGCAGGGGACTTAGAAGGAGCCACAACCTCTGATGTGAAGTATCCAGCACTTTATATTTAGGGCTCAGTACATAGGAGAGACACTATTAAAGGTCACAATCATCATTAAGAAAATCAATAAGTGCATTTTCAGTCTGACCCTTAGGAAGACTTTTTCACTGCTGCTCAAAGGGCAGCAACCTCGGCTCCTTATCACCAAGAGCTTCAAGAAATGCAGACGCTCCGGCCCCTCCCCAGATCTACTGAAGGAGACTCTGCATTTTTAACGAAATCCCCAGCGATTCCCGCGCAGCATGGTTTTGAGGAGCCCTGTTGAAAGGACTTGTTAAGATTTGGGGTCTTTATCTAACAGCAACGGGAAGCAAATGAAAAACTGTAAGCAGATGGTGGGAGAGAACTGGAAAGGGGGCAGAGTTTACAAAGCATTACGCCTCGGGCGGTAGAAGGCAAACTGGGGGGGGGGGGGGGGGGGGGGGGGGGGGGGGGAGGAGACTGCAGAGCAGATTTGGAGAAACTCCTTGAGGGTTTTAATAAACGAACGAATCTCAAAAAGGATCCTCCAAAGATGAGAAGTTCCCCTTGAGGGATATCACAGCACAGACCAGTGGTTCTCAAAGTGTGGGCCCTGGACCAGCGGCATCAGCATCCCCTGGGGACTTGGTAGAAATGCAAATTCCCGGGCTCTGCCCCACACCTGCTAAATCAGAGGCTCTGGGGGCGGGGCCCAGGGATTACCCTTCAGGTGATTCTGATGTACACAGAAGTTGGCGAACAGCCTTTCAGCTGCAGAACGGCTGGGGAAGAGAAGAGGCAGGACCATGTGGGGCACACCCAGCCTCCCGTGGACCAGCTCCCACCTGTACATGATGCGCAGCACCCTCCATCTCCGGAGGGAATTGGGTGGGAACAAGCAGCTTCACACGTCACCTTTTCACAGGTCACCTCCCCATCCTGGAAGCAAAAGCAGGAGTTCCAGCCACCACAAGGCCCCAGACACCAGACCAGGGCAGCCCCGAGGACCACTCACACCCACCTCGCACCAGCACTGGGAACACCCAGGGTCTGTCCAGCGGCTCCCTGACTCATACATGGTTCCCAGGTGCCAGCAGGCAGAGGGCCCTGGTGCCAGCCGCGTGGCCGCAGGGCCCCTGGGCAAGGAAGGGGTCATCACCGCTTTCTCCTGGAGTTGTGAGGGAGGTCTGAGGGTCCCCAGCTGGGAGGCACTAGGCACTGAGGTGGACAGCAGCCATGTCGCGGCAGAAGGGGAGGATGTGGGTAGTGCAGGGGTGGGAGAGGGCAAGCGGGTGGTCCTGACTCCCGTTGGGGGCCCTGGAGCCCCGGAAGGAGGGCTGTGTCCTGGGGAGAGGGCAGGCCGGCCCGCCTCTGGAAGCAGCAATAGCATCTTCGGCGGGTGCTGCAGGGGCTGCAGGATGGCGGATGGGGCCAGCACGGCTTTCGGGAAAGCTGAAACGGAAGCACAGGGGTCTCTTGAGGGAGGCAGCAGGGGCAGGAGGCGAGACTGAGGGGCCTGGACTCAGCTCCTCCACGGCAAATCACTGAATGTCCCTGGGCCGGTCTCTCCGTCAACAGAACGGGTCTAAAACCACCAGTTCCACCCTAAACTGCTGGGGCTATGGGGACGATCACAGAAGAAGATTGGTGGAAAAGTCCCACATGAGCAGGCCGAAGTTACAAGTTGAGAGTGGGTCCCCTGCTCCCCCACCCGGATGTGGCTTCCCAGGAGGGGATGCTGAGGCTCTGGATGAAGGAACAGCTCGGGGAAAACTCGCCATCGCCACGGACTAGAAAAGGCACTGTCAGTATTTATATGACATTATACGTATGTTTATAGGCACGCTGTTAAAGTCGGGCAGAGTGATCTGACACCACACTGTCCAAAGTGTTCCTGGGAGCCCAGGTTACTGGGACTCCTGTGTCACAGGCTCCTCTATCATTTTTTTTTCCCCTTATTCCATTTGGGGGACAACACAAGGGCTAAGGAAACAGAGAAATGCAAGGGGAGGAAGAATGGATAAAGAAGCGGAAGGAGGAAGGGAGGAAAAAAGTGAACTGTTGGAAATAAGATGAGTTGAAAAGAGTGGGTGGAAAAGGAAGAGGGCCTGGCGCCGGGGGGGCGGGGCCTGGGGCTGGGGGGCGGGGCCTGGGGCTGGGGGGGCGGGCCTAGGCTCTTGGAGGGCGGGGGCTGAGGCTTGGAGGGCGGGGTTCGTTGCTGGAAGAGAGGAGCCTGGGGCTTAGGGCGGGGCCTAGGGCTGAGAGGGCGGGGCCTGGAGGCAAGAGGCGGGGCCTGGCACCAGGGATAAGGCCCCCGGGAGGGCGGGGCTGGGCGCTGGGTGGGAGAAGGCCGTGCTGGGAGGGCCGGGCCTGGAGGCGGGGTCTGGCACCCGGGACAGGGCCTGGCGCTGGGAGGGCGGAGCCCAGGACCCAGAGGGCGGGGCCGGGAGCCAGGAAGGCGGGGCTGGAGGCTCACCTTCACAGGACACGCGGTCAGCTCGGAGCCTGAAGCCAGGTCGGCATGTGCACAGGAAGCTACCCACGGTATTATGGCAGGAATGATGACAGACTCGCCTCTCCAGCGGCCTCCGACATTCGTTTACATCTGCAGGAGAGCCTCGCTGCCGACAGCTGCCTTGTCGGGGCTACTTGGCCCTTCCTCCATCCCTTAGCCCAAAAGGCTGGGGGAGTCTCCCTGCCATGTTCTTACGGGGTCCATCCCTGCCCCAGGGTGTGGGATGTGACTCAGATGTCTGGGAGTGGGGCTGAAATCTAATGCGAGCCCCCTGGAGAGGTTCATACATCCAGGAGGCATTTAATGGATGCCCCAGTGACTCATCCCCCAGCAGTACACAGCAATGATTAAGTGCTGGCTGGTGGGGATGAGCCTGGCTGGGAATCTCATCTCCAAACTTTCCACCATCCCAAGTGTCAGGTGACGGGGCCCTACTGGAAAAGAGTCTCCAACATCCCAGCACTGCTCAAGGTAGGCTTCAGGACGAATACCAAACTCCACTAGAACAAGGTCTTTTTTCAGGCCCATGGGACCCCACCTTCAACCCATGAGCCAGGCTCAAGCCAAACATGCCAGTCCCTTTCTGGAAATTTCTGCTAATGGGCTGAGAAAACAGGGGTCTCCTTCTAAACCAGAGGAACCAAGACATAACGTGCTTTATTTACCAAGGGGAGCAAAGGCAGCCAAGAAAATGGGTGAGCAGAGAGGAATCCTTGGGGTGTATCTGGGAGAGGGGTGGAAGAGAAACATAACAGGATGAAAGTGGCATGTGGCCTGGAAAAGTCCAAGAGGGTCTTCCATGAGCAGCCACGCCAATCCCAGGGAAAGGCAGGCCCTGAGCAAGGGCTCAAGCATTAGCAGGCTCCAGGGGACCAGGAGGTCCACACCGCTGACCTCTTCCTGACCCTGGGCTCACCCTGTCCATCTTCCTGATTGGCAGCCTAAGTGTGAAGACAACAGGGTCCTCCGGACCTTACCTACACAGGAGTGCCGGTTGCCATGGAGATGGAAGCCAGTTCGACAGGAACACCTGTAGCTGCCGATGCTGTTTTTACATCTCTGCTGGCAGGGAGTCCCCAGGCATTCATCAGTGTCTGGAAGGGAACAGGACAAGGCTGGAGCTGACTTCCACACAGAGTTTTGGAGAAATGTGGTCCCTCTTCCTCTCTCATCACCATCTCCTACCCCACTCAGGGCTGTGGGGGAACATCTTAACCCCTCTCTGGACCAGCCCACTTCTCTCCACCCTCACTGCTATATACCCTAGCCCGGGGCCACTTTTGTCTCTAGTTGGAGAATAACCACGAACTCATGTGCCTCCCTGCCTCTCCGTCCCTGCGTTCCTTCCGAGCCATCCTCTACACAACCTCCAGGATGTTCGGACCAAAGGGCACCTGTGATCAGCCCACTCTGCCTAAAAGCTTTCCGTGATTCCCACAAGCACCAATGCTGCACCAGAGCACATGAGCCCCGGGCTGCCTTTCCCACCCCCTTCCCTGCCCCTCGCCTTTGCTCTGTCTTAAATTCTTGCCATCTTCCAAAGGCACCACACTCTGGTGGGCCTCCTCCTTTCCCTATGTTCTCTTGTCTGCCTAAAATGCCTTTCTGTCTTGTCTGGCTGGAAAACTCCTACTCCTACCTCAAAACTCATCTTCTATAGCACCTCCTCTGTCAAAGCCTCCCCATGGTGTTGTTTGAAATTGTGAAAATCTGGAAATAATCTACATGTTCACTAATAAGAGAAGAGTTCATAAACTCTTAGTAAGTTAGTAAAATATGGGGTGTTTACACAGCAAAGTACCAGGCAGTAGTTAAAAAGAACAAGGCAGGTCTGTTTAAAACGCCCTGATATGGAGAGATCTTCAAAACAGCTTGTTGAGGGGAAAAAAGGCAAGCAGAGGAGTGACTGGCTTCAAAGCCCAGGTCCAACCTGATCTTGAGCAAATAATTTAATTTCTTTAAGCCTCAGTGTTCCTAACAGAAACACAAAAATAAACAGTACCAACTTCATAGGATAATTTTGAGGATGAAATGAGAACATGCATGTAAAGTGCTCAGGATGGTACCCAGAACACAGGAGTTCATCGAGGGCTCGTCTCTGATTATCATATCTCTGTACGTGCATATGTGCGTATGGACACACACTGGGGAGAGGCAGGCAGCGCACACATCAGATCGATAACCAAGTGCTGTGGATGCACTGTGTCCCCCCCAAGTTCCTATGTTCAAGTCCTAACCCCCACTGTGATGCCATTTGGAGGTGGGGCCTTTGGGAGGTAATTAGGTTTAGATGAGGTTATGAGGGCGGGGCCCTCCTGATGGAATTGGCCCCTATAAGAAGAGCTGGCTCTATCTCTCCGCCCTGTGAGGACACAGTGAGAAGGTGGCCATCTGCAAGCCGGGAAGAGAGCCCTCCCCAGTGACCAAATGGGCCAGCACCTTCATCTCGGTCTTCCCAGCCTCCAGAACCGTGAGAATAAACAGTTGTTGTCGAAGCCACCCGGTCCACAGTATTTTGTTATAGCCGCCCGAGGAAACTAAGACACCACGCTTATTCTCTAAAGAGAACAGAGGCTGGCGGTGGGAAAGAGGGCCCGGAGCTAGTGCCGTGACATTTAGAACTTTTAAAATAATTTATGAACGTTTCAAACACATAAAAAAATAATACCACAGTATCAAGGGGAGCTTCTGTCTTAGCTGCCTTGTGAAAGAGAGAATGCTTCCTTACATAACTTCTGTAAACATAAGTCATCTTTACAGAATGAGCAATTATTTTGAAAGGTCTCTCTCATCGGGCACACTTCGGAACAAAGATTTCTTCTCTTCCCTGGGTTCCCAATGCCTTCATCCCTCGGCCCAACCTCGCTGTTCGTTCCCTTGCCACCAGGCTGGGGAGCTGGAGGGCCACATGTTTGCTAACTCAGCCTGTGTCTCCAGAGCCTGGCCCAGCGCTGGGCAGCTGAACAAATGAATGTGTGAATGAATGACCCCAGCACAGCGTACCTCTCCCACACTCCACCCCACCCCCAGACCTGCTCACAGCCCCTCCCTCTCAGCCCTCCCTCTTTTCTGTGGCCTCGTCCCTCCAGCTAGTCTGATCCGCCCTGCCCTAGCTCTCCCAAGTCCCCTCTTTTCTTTTTTTTTTTTTTTTTTAATGAGGAAGATTGGACCTGAGCTAATATCCGTCGCCAATCCTCCTCTTTTTGCTCAAAGAAGAGTGGCCCTGAGCTAACATCTGTGCCAGTCTTCCTCTGCTTTATGTGGAATGCCGCCACAGCAGGGCTTGAGAGTGGTGCTAGTTCCACACCCGGGATCCGAACCTGCAAACCCCGGGCCGCCAAAATGGAGGGAGTGAACTTAACCACTCAGCCACGGAGCCTAGGCCTCTCCTTCATCCCCATCCCCCCCACCCTGCAAGAATGGCAGCAGCAGCTTCTAGAGCAAGCTATTCGTGGCATAGAGCAAGGACCCTAGAGTCAGACACGCCGGGATTCAAGCTGACTCCAGCTCATACAGATGGAACCGCCATGGACAAGCCTCGGTTTCCCCATCCTTCAAACAGAGATGATAACAGTGTCTCCTTCAGAGGACTATAGGGATGCGATAATATATGGAGAGCACATTTTGGATCTGGCAGGGCTGCGCATTCCACTTCAGAGCCCAGCAGCAGTGGTCCCAGCATCGTCCTTACCCTCTCTGAGCTGCTCACCTTGGCAGCTGTGGCGATCGGCTGACAGCTGCATACCTGGCCCACACTCACACACAAACCCGCCTTCTGTGTTCACGCAGTGGCCCTCACAAGAGGAGCTTAAACATTCGTCGATGTCTGGGGAGAAAGAAAACATCCATGCACAGCCCACTCTGAACATGTTGGGGTGCAGGGGGAAACTCTACCCCCCAAAGCCCCCGTGCCCACACCGGGCCTTCCTTCGGCCCCACCCCAGGAAGAAAGAGCAGGCACCAGGAGAGTCATCCACGTATAAGGGAACCCCAGAAAGGAGAGGTGCAGGGGCCAGCCCCCTCCTTTTTGACCCACGCAGACCAGAAGACAGAGAGAATGCTGAGACAGACCCCCATCCAACGGCCCCACCGACGGAACAACCCCAAAAGGGCAGAGGGGAGTGGGCAGGAAGACTGATGAAAGCCCCTTAAATGTTTATTGAGCACTGCCCGTGTGCAGCAGACCTGGAGGGGGCCGCTGAGGACACAAATGTGACTAAGACATGGCGCTCACTCTCCAGATGGTTACAGTCTGATAACGTGGCAGCCACGACCCACACCCACGAGAGGCCAGCACTTGGCCGGGTGATATCTGCCCCACTGGGGAACGCCCGGCCACAGCAGGTGTGCGCTGGAGGACAGAGGGGCTGAGGGGAGCAGGAGGCATCAGGAGGAGGGGGCCATCAAGTGGAGAGAGTCTGAGGGGCTTCTGGAAAGCACAGAGAATGCCCTGGGCCCAGAGTGACTGAAGCTCGGGTTCCTGTCGGGGCAGTGGGGGTGGGGGCTGGAGAGGTAGGTTAAGCCTTGGCTGTGGGTGCAATGGAGTCCTTCCGCCCGGGGTGCAGTGACTGGATCCCAGTGGTGCTTTAGGAAGATTCAGGCCTGAGGGGTGAGGGGAGCTCGGAGACAGAACTCCCCACTCCTACTTCATGGCATCCCTTCCTCAAATAAGAACCATGGCGGCTCTTGAGGACCTACAGGATCAGCTCTGCCCACTCCAGTCTCCCCTCCCCCGGCCCCCATGCCCACTGGATGACTCCCTTCTCCTTACCCGCACTTCCCATGGGCAGACCCTTCAGTATGACACCCACCGCCTCTGAGAAGCCCACCCTGACCAACCCCATCCCACTGGGATCCCTCGAGGCAGTGGCCAGTGCCCCCTGCCCTGCCCTTGCTTTGACATTGTTCCCTGGCTTTTCCTTGGTCCCATTTGCCTCTGCAAGGAGACGTGTGTGTGGAAAGGGCTCCCCAGCAAAGATAAGAATCAGGGGAGGACAAATTACTTCAATTTCCTGAAGGGGACGGTGCCATGAGCCCCAAGCACCAAAACTCCTTTAGTGAGACCCCGGACCCAACAGTTCTCCTTCTGGGAATAATCAGAGAGGCCGACACGAAGTGTCTTTTTTGAAGCATTATTTATAGTAGCGAAACATTGCAGACAAGCTAAATGAGGGCTAGCAGAGAGCTAGGTACTTAAATTACAGTGGCCATGAACGCAGCTGTTAAAAATTACATAGTAAAGACTCTTTTGTGCTCACAATATAAAGTTTAGTGAGAAAAATAATGAAAAAAAACTATAAAGTATGATCCCAGTTTTAGAAAACACACAGATCCGGCTGCCTAACACACACATACACACAGGTACACTCACTCGCAAACACAGACACACCCAGAGAAAAGGGCAGAAAAATAACTTCATTTTAGTAACAAATATCTCCGGGTAGGAACTTCTGGACCATGTTTATTTCCACTTTTCTTTTACTTTCCAAATGTTCCAAAATAAGTTATTTTTTTACTTTTATATTCAGAGGAAGAAATATTATTTTTACAAAGTCAAACCTCAGCAAAAAGCTTTCACCTCTCTGGACAGATATGCAAGAAATTGGTCACAGTGGTTGCCCCTGGGGAAGGTGACAGACTTTGCGCGTCAGAACTTTTTCAAATCACGAGCAAATAATACGTTTATAAAATGAGTATTGAGTGTCACCCTCCTGGCATCTTTCAAATGTCACTTTCCCAAGGGCGGCTTCTGTGGTCAATGCCACCTCCAGTCCCGGTCACCTGTCCCTCAGTGGGCCCCGGCACCTTGCACTTCACCAGTTGCAGTCCCATTATATGAGACTGTCATTGTCCTTACTCGTCTCCCTACCCCATATTAGAAGCAACATGACGGTGGGGAGGGACCAACTGCCCTCGTAACTCCAGCCCCTAGCTCGGTTCCTGGCCAGGAGAGGTACTCAGTAAATATTTGCAACAGAGCAGAAGGGACTATTTCTTTGCTTTGCAGGCCCACTCTCAAACTTCAGAGCCGGTCCAGGCTCAGCTTCGCCCCCCATCTCTCTGGAGATCATCCTGGCAGGACAGGGAGGACGCAGAATTCCCACCCGCCCCCTCCCCCACTTCTCCCAGGTCTCTCACCGGTACACCTGATGCCGACAGCTGTCTCTGTCATCAAGAAGCCCACCGGGCACACTCGGGCCACCTCCTGACAGCCGCCGTGGTTACAGGTAAGGTCACAGCCATACTCCCCGCAGGGTCCATGGGCTTCTAAAACAGACACCGCGCGTGTGAGCATGAGCCATGAAAAGTCCCAGCCACCCTTGCCTCCCGGGGCTGCCTCCGAAATTCTTGGGAAGGTAGCTCTGGAGGCAAACAGGCTTGAGTTAAATCCAGCTCTGCCACTTCCTAGCCAGGTAACCCCGGGGCAGCCACTAATCTCTGTGCCTCAGTTTCCTCATCTATAAACTAGGCATGAGAATGCCTACCTAATCGAGTTGTTTGAAGATGATACGATAGGCTACATCTCAAGGGCCCAGTGCCTGACACAGAATCCCAGGGTTAACAGAGTTCTTCCCATCAGCCATTGCCCGCCCCCAGCTACCTGGGCAGGTGGCCCCTTGCTCTCCATCCTGGCAGGAGCAGACGTTGGGAGCGATGCAGATGCCACTCCCACAGCCAAAGGAGCAGAGGGCTGAGAGGAGAAATGCAGGTGAGAGAGTGGGGGCTGGGGCGCCCCATCTGCCCCTCAGGCCAGCCCAAGGAATGAGCGCCCTGCTGTGGAGGATGTTTGGGGCACAGGGACGGGCACTTACGAAGGGTGCAGTGCCCACTGCCCATGGAGGGCGCCCAGCCAGGGCAGCAGCCACTCCCGAACCCCGAGAGGCAGACGTGGGGGCCCAGCCGGCGTCTGCAAAAGAGGAGAGAGCACTTTCCATGTTCTGTATCAGGGGAGGGATTGGTCTACAGGGCAGTGAAAGCCTCCAGTCAGCCGTCAACAAACAGTTCTCAAGACACCCACCACCACCCCAGCCCCAGAGGGACAGTGGGAAGTTTCAAAAGAAAAATGACCCAGACAGTTTCTTCTGGAGGCAGGACAAAGGCGTGAGAGAACAGACACCAGCCTCCCACAGATATATGCCACATGAACACACAGCAAAGAGCAGCCAGGAGAGAGGGTCCTTAGAGACTGCAATGGATGCAGATCCCGGAGCTGGCTGCCTCAGGGCCTTTGCACTTGCAGTTCCCTTTATCAGGAAGGTTCCTCTTCTCAGCTCACTCCCTCCTTTCACCCCGATCTTTCTGCTCATGTCACTGTCTCAGAGAAGCCCTTCTCTTCACCCTTACTTTATTCTTCTTCATAACACTCACTTCCTGGGACATTAAATTACTTATTAATTTGTCAATCTGTTCATTGTCTGTCCCCCCTACCATTCCCTGAGGACAAGGGCTTCCTCTTTTGTTCATCTCAGCACCCAGAGCAGTGGCCAGCACACAGTAGGTGCTCCATAAATGGCTGTTGAGGGAAAGGTTGAGAAGGGAAGCCAGTAGAAGACAGGAAGAGGAAGGACAGCTCCAGAGGGGCTGGAGAGATGTCCCTCCCCCGGTGACATCTCTGGGGAGCAGGTGAGGGTACCAGCGAGCTGCCCAGAGGAGTGAAGGGGACCCAGTGTGCCCCATGCTGGGCGAGGCACAGCAGTACAGCCATGAACAAGACACTGTCCCCACCTTCAAGGGACGTTGGGCAGACAAGGTGATAACAAGGTAGTGTGACAAGTGCCACAACAAAACAGGCTATGGAGCCCCCGAGAGGGTTAGAGGTGGTCTCCTGGATGGACAGCACTAGGCTGGGGCAGGAGAGAGGAATAGCAGCGGCCGGTGGGAATGGAGGAGGGGAGAGGGTGCTCCAGGCAGAGGGAACAGCCCCTGCACAGGCCCGGCGGGAGACAGAGCCAATGACGGGAACTAGTTCTGGGATGGGCTGGGCAGAGGGTGATGAAGTCCAGCCTGAGTGGCACCGGGAATCTCGGCAACAGAATAGGGACAAGAAAACCCTGCCCGACTGTGCTCTGCCCGTGTGGCGGGGCTGATGGGAATATTCTGCCAGCTGGGCCATCTACAGAGCACACACAATCTGCCGGGCACGCAGCAGGCACTGGGGACATGGATGGAAAAGCCAGAGGCACCCCGCTCTTGGGGAGAAAAATCTGTGTCAAATGTGACAAGTATTCTGGAAAGGGAAACAGGGCCCATAGCAGCACAGAAACGTCTGCAGAAAACTCCCAGGAGCCTCCAAGAGGCTTTTCCCTCTCTGAAGTCATCACGGAGGAAGAGGGGGCCCTGGAGGGGGGGCTGGCACTGATGTCTCACCCGCTGCCCTTGCTGGAGCGACTATGGCAGCAGCCTGGGGAGGAGGAGGTGACACCTCCAGCTCCTCAGACGGGGGCTCTGAAAGGGGTGGGGGTGCAACCAAAGCGGCAGATGGAAGGATGCCCGAGAAGCTGGTGGAGCCCACCCTCAGGACGGCAGGGGCCAAGCGCCCGCCAGAGCGCCCCAAGGAGCCTCCTAGGACAGGCGGTGACCCGGAGACAGGTGGCGGGAAAGCTCTGAAACGCCACGGAGCCGGCCTGATCTGAGCAGGAACTGGTGGTGGGCTGCGGAACACACGTGCGAGCTGCGAGCCTGGCGGGGCCGCCCCCTTGCGCACCCCCACCGGAGGCCGTGGCCGCGGGCCAGGCCGCCCGCTGACACCGTGTTCCCTCGCTCGGAGCATCACGCACACATGCGCTCGGCCCGCGGCGGCCCGGCCTCGGCCGGGAGGAGACACGAGGGGAGGGCGGCATCAATCCGGAGAGAGCAAAGGGGCAAACACCCCACCCCCGCCCGCGTGCACACACAGGCGGAAGAAACCGAAACAACCCAGAGAGACTCCAGCGGTTCCAAGGTCCATGGCATGCGCAGAGCCTGGACACCGGGAAAGCCCCCAGCTCCAGCCCGTGCGGCGGGGGAGGCCAGGCACTGCCAAGGCAGATCCACCGGCACGTTCGCGAACGAAAGCCAGCTGGTCCGGAGACCAGGAGGCACGTCCCGGGCTTCCCTCGCCAGGGGTCCGCGCTCCAGGGCAGTCTCGGATGGGCTCACCCAGCGTCTGGATCTCTGGCCCCGCCAGGTCCCAATCAGGACAGCCCCGGCCAGGGGCACAGAACGGACACCCTCCCAGAGCACAAGCTGCTGTCTCTTTGTCCGGATCCCCTGGGCTGCACCGCGCGCGGACAGCGCCCTAGAGCGGAGCCCCGACCCACGGCTGCCGGCGGCTCCGGGGCGCCCCTCCGCGCCTCCCCGCTCCCTCCACGCCGGTAGCGCTCCCGCGGCAGGGCAGGGGAGGGGCGCGGGGCGCTTACCTCTCGGCCGCGAAGTGCCCGGGCGCCTTCCTCCCGGTGTAGCCTCGGGCCAGGGCCCCCGGCAGCAGGAGCGCGACGCAGGCGGCCCGGAGGAGCAGTCCGGCCCACATGACCGGCGGCGGCGGGTCCCCCCAGGCTCAGCTGGGCTCCCGCGCCGCGCGCGGGGGAGGGGGCTGCGGCCCCTCGCCCCTCCTCCTGGCGCCGCGGGGAGCGAACCAGCGAGCCCCGAGCTGGCACGCGGAGCCGAGCAGGGGGCCTGGGGACGCGGAGAGGAGGGGCCGGGGGCCGCGAGGGGACGCGGCGGACGGCGAGTGGGGGTCTCTGGCACCTCAGAGCCAACACACAAAAGGCAGCGCCGCCCGCGCGCAGATGGCCTCTTGGGGAGGCGCGGAGCCCTGGGCGGGGGCAAAGATCAGGGACCCCTAGGGGCGGGGTTTCGCCCTCGGCCCACACCCCCTGCCGGAGTTTGGGAGTCGGCTTCCTGCGAAGGGCTGTGGGCGTCAGACTGAGGCCCGGGGAGGAGAGAGACTCGGGGAAGCAGGCTGGCGCTGGAGGCTGCGCGCCCCGGGCATTGCTGGTCTCGGTGGAGCCCGAGACGCCTGTTTTGTCACGAGAAGGTGGGACGCTGAGACGTTTCTCTGCTGGGCACTTCTAGGCCGGCCCCCAGCCTACCAGCAGGTCTGCACCCTAACCCTGGGTGTGCGGGTCACCTGCTCCCTGTCCAGGGGGCACCCGCCGGTCTTGAACGCAGAGGCTCCTCTTTGCCCCCTTCGGCAGCTGCCCCAGGCCAGTCTGAGACTGTTAGGCAGGGGAGTGGTGAGCAGGTGGTGGGTGGAAATTGGATCATCCAGCTGGGAGGAAGCTGAAAGGATGACCAAATTCTACCCTCCTGGGATAAGGGACTCTCTCTACCTGTCAAAAGGCAGCCATCCAGTTTCCAGCAACTACATTTTAGGAAGTGTTTACCTCCTAGCTAAATAACCGGTTCGTTGCCTTGGTCTGCCTCTACAGCTGCCCTCCCACTGGCTACCCAGCCTGTCACTGAGGTCCTTAACACTGGTGGCCACGAACGAACATGGTATGCCAAGAGTGGCCTGGCCTCTTGCCACCTTCCTTCCAGACATCATACTTTCATTAACACAGCCTAATATTACTTTGCTTTTTTGGCAACCCCTTGATGCTGTTAGCTCATAACACGGAGTTCACAGTAAAGGAAAACCTGAGGTGTTTTCTGTTATCATGTCTTTATGTTGTTGTTTATTAAAACACACGCTGCTAAGCTCAGTTTGAACCCATGTGGCTGAGTTTTTGCAGATGTTCAAATTTAGCCCTGTTATCTCACGTTGTTAGTTTTGATCCATCTTCTAAGCTAAGCGACAGACTCTCAGCAAGCAGGTTACCAAGATATTCCGTGTCATAAGACGAATGCAACTTCCATATTTATGGCCATTTTGAGTCCTAAGGACCCTCAGACTCCCAGGACATCTTTCCTTTTTGCCTCAAACGTCCGAAGGTGCACTTTCTCCCTCTCCCTCACTGTTGCTTATAAAGTGCTTCAATGTCCACATGGTCGGAAATCTTGCCTTGGATTATTCAAAAATAGGGATAAACATAAAGTCCTTCCTTCTCGTGGCCTGCAAAATCTATGGCACCCTTGGCCTTACGGTTTTTACCTGGACCACCACTCGATGTCAAGCAGGCACTCTTCTTCTGGGCACTGGACACCACCCACAAATTGTCAACACATTTACACAGAGGTTTCCTTTTGCACACCTGCCACGCCTCGTGCCATCTTCTCCCATACTCCAGCACACCTGACTCTACCCCTTTGTGCAGCCCCACCCCTCCACCTCACCCCTGTCACTCTGGCAAGCTGGCTCCATATTGTGCAGTGAGCAGCTGGCATAGCTGAGATGCCACTGTGTGCTCAAAGAGAATGCTCATCCACCCTCAGGAGCAGGCTAGTATTTAAGATGCAGTAAATTCCTACCGGTGAATTTCGAAAGCAGCAGCTTGCTCAACAGCCGCTGGCCTTTCTTCCCTTTCCCCTTCTTCTCTGACCTTAGGGCATTCACCTTGCTCCTCACAGTGAGAGTCTGCTTCTTTAGCTTGGCTTTTGCTATTTTCTTTTTCTTATCTTTTCGTGTGTCTGACCCCGAGGCTTTTCGAAGTTTGGACCCTCAGTCTCTAGCATCAAGCTGTTCCTAGTCAAGGACTAGTTTGGGCACATCCCTTGTACAGTCCCTCAATGCTTCCTCCTCACTTCTGTGGCTTGTGGCTCCTCAGTAACAAAAGGGACCCTCCACCAAAGGCGGAGGATCCGAGTTGTTGCTGGCTGCAGAAAGAAGGCCGCTGGCTTGTGACCCTTCCAAACGGTCATGGGATGAGTCAGTGTTTCTATTATTCTCCCAAAGGTCCCTTCGTGCAGAGGCCTGGAGTGAGGCAAGCTCGTCAGCGCCTACATGGAAAGGAGCCACTCCAGCTGGCTGTAGCAGAGCTCCACAGGCAACCTTTCACCCCTGGAGAGGTGATTAATGGTTTTCAAGAGAAGACGTGGGAGTGTGGCAGCAGAACGTCAGTTTCCAAAGGCTTGCTAGAATTCAACCCTGAATATACCCAAGACTGTAGGAAACAAAAACCTGCAAGGACGCCCCTGCTTCCAAAGTCCAGACGATAAGTCCACTGATAAGTAATAACCTTCTACTCCATGTAGCAGGTCTCCACGGCTGCAGGTCAGACCACTGAAAAGCACCAGAATAATCATCCCACCACATTCTGTCTTTCTGACCTTGGCACCTTATGGTCAATCTTCTCATCTAGGATTAAACTTTTAAAATAATCATAATCTGGAGACCGTTGCTTGCCTGCCTCATTAAAGCTGGTCTCTGGCTGGGGGCAGGTCTTTTCAATTCAAACCATGACTTGAAGAATTCAAATCACAGTGTTGAGTTTCAAGTTCAAACCGTGGTTTTTGAGAGACGCTGATTACTTTTCCCTTAAGACCCTTATCCCCTACCCTCAGAAATCCCAGGAGTAAGCGAAAGAGAGCAGTAATGAAACACCAGGAACGCCTCCAGGGAAGGAGACCTACTCCAGAAGACCCCCAAAGCAGAGATGCCTCCTTGCCCTTTTCCTTTTAAGCTAGAATCTCTCAAAACCACAGTTTGAACTTGAAACCACAATTTTCCTGACACTGTATCAAAGGCTGGTCTTAAAGGAGCCAGCCAATATGCCTAGGTTCAACCCCGTCCACTGCTGGGACAGAGCAGTCTTTATTCCCACTGGACCACTGGGGGGCCTGTGGGCTGACACTGACCCACTGAGCTGAAAGAAGACAGGCTCTGTTTGCTGGACAGGAGGGTGAATCCCAATGTGCCCTACTCCTATCCTTTCCCACCAAAGGTTTACTTGATTCAATCAGAGGAAATAAAATCAGAATCCAAAGGGCATGTGGCAACAGGAAGCCGGGAGGTGTATGAGGAGCTACTCGCCGTGGCCAAGGAGTAGCATCTTGGGGAAAGCTGGCTGGATGGTGCACACACATCTGGCTGTAAAATGTCAGGAAAGGCAACCCAAGCGGCCCCCAAGCCTGGCAGGTTACTAACAGAGGCAACTAGGAACCAAATGTTGACTACAGAGTCAAGGGCAACCAAAGACCACTGAATTTTGAAAACCTAACAGCCAAACTCCTTGGGATCCCAGCAAGAGCAATCACATGGCAAAGGAGAGGTTCAGGTGTCATCTCACTGCTTGAGGAGCTGTTCCAGCAGCAAGGACAAGGGACTGCAGTAGCTGCCAGAAAGAAGGGAAACGAGCTTGCAGGAAATTGGGCACAGTGTGACTGGGATGCTGGAGAGTTGGGCAGCAGGAAGAAAGCAAAACCAATGGCTCTTTCTTCTTAGATTCTACTTTATTTGGTAAAACTCAGAAACTAACCACCAAATCACGTCCCCCCACCTCCTCCTCCTCTGAAGAAAGCAGTTCCCCAGAGACAAAAAGGCTGTGGCCTAGGGATCATCCACCATCTCCAGGTTTCATACTCGGGCAGCCCATGGCCTGGCGGTCAGGCCTCCAGACCCAAAGCTCTCAGAGGCAACAGAAGAAAGCAAAAGGAAGCTCTCACTTCAAAGACAATGAACCCCTCCCGCCCCTCTTCCCCCTACACACCACCTCCCCACATCCCCAACCTAAAAAAAAGACAGCAGAGGACAATGTATGAGTGTGGGAGACACACACACACAGAGCTTCCTTTCAGCCAAAGAGCTGCAAAACCCCTCCCTGGAAGGAGGACAATTGGTTACACCAATCAAGGCTTGGTGGCCCAAGGTGATGGCTGGAATTAGGTGAGACTGGTAAAAATCCAGGGAGAAAATATTTCACCTTCAGCCCATTCCCAGGTCTCCAGTGAACTGGTTTTAGTTCTAAGAAATCCCCATTTCCACAAGGGTGGGCTGTGGCTTCTGGGGCAGCTGGCTTGGGGAAAGGCTTCCCATGGCTGAGAAGACAGTGGTGGGGGAGGGGAGGAGGGCAGGAGGGCAAAGCCTTCAGGAGGGTCTGGGGAAGGGGATCCCTGCCCTTGGCTAATGGATCCGAGTTAGCTCCTCCACAACCTTGATCAGGTCGTCTGCGGTGGCCTCTCGCTTCATTCCACTGCCATCATCATACTGTAACGAGGAAAGAAGGGGACTGTGAGGGCCAAGAGGGCACCCACCCTCCCCTGGGGAAGGGGATGCCCACAGCAGAGGCACCTGGCTCCACCACTGCCATGAAGGGGAGGAAGGACTCAGCAGCAGCCTACATCTCTCTTCAGGGGTACAGGTCAGCAAGGTCTACTGACGCAGAGCTGGCTCAGAGGCTGCCACCTGATGCACACTTCTCTCTCTTCCAGGACACCCCCCACAGGCACCATCTCCAGTCAGCAGTACCCCAAACTCCAGCACTATGGAAATTTCTCTTCCTTGCAGGAACCTGACCCTGCCTCTCCCTCTGGTGGGTCTGCTAGAGACCCTAGACATGCCTGAATGTGCCCTTGTTGTTTAAGTACAGAAGTCACGTGGGCAAAGCTGCTACTACAGCACCTAGCACCTGGTGGGTACCCAGGAGCCTCAGCTGCATCTCCTTGCCTTCCGACTCCACCTTCCCATGCGGGTAGAATATTTAGAAAGGGCCGCCAGCATCTGGGCATCGAGGAGGGGAGGCCCCTGGAGCTGACAGAGTCCTAGCATGGGGGGCCCAGCCATGGACTCGTGTAATTGGCCCAGAGCTGAACACACCGCACGGCTCACCTGTAGGTTTGCCACAACCTCCTGCATCTTGGGCCGGCTGATATCCAGGAAACTCTCAATCAAGTCTCCATCGATGAAGCCTGTGGCTGGTTCTGTCTTTCGCTCTGTATGAAAGGATCTCCAGGTGGAAAGGGGAGTTAAGGAATGAATGATTATTTGGAAATATCCTTACCCTCAGTCATTCCCACATCTGCGCAAGACCACAACCTAAAGCGATCATCAGGAAGAGAACAGGAAACAACAGTTTCGACAAGCCACATTGCTTTTTGGAATTGGAAAACATATAAAATTATTACTTAATCCAACGGTTCTCAACCGGGGTGTCCTCCAAAGAACATTTTTAAAAATACAGATCAGACTCTCTTCGTGTAGAGCCTGGACATGTATGGATGTTTTCCACAAGTGCTCCAGGTGAATCGGATGTGCATGCCTGGGAAGAATGGTCTTCCAGGTCCAGCCTTGACCTTCACAGATGAATACACTGAGGCTCAGAGAGACAAGAAGCATGCCCAAAGTCCCGCTGGTTAGCAAACCGACACCACGTCAGGCGCCCCCTCCCTCCCCGGCTACAGCTGGGCCATGCCGCCTTGTAACAGAGCCTGACCAGCCTCAGACTGACCGGCGTCAGAGCCCTCTCGCTTCACCCCCGGGGAGGGCTTTTGACATTTCCCGCAACAAACAAACTTCCAGCAGCACCTGGCTCCTGGGTGTCCTTGGGGGCTGATCCCTGGGCTTCTGGAGTTTCTGGCTTCTTCACTTTTCCCCTCCTCTGCTAGCCTCTAGCAAGGGTCCTCAGACACTGCTGCCCAGACAAGACCTCTGAAAAGATGTTCCTATCTTGTGATCTAACCTTACTGGTTGACGTGCAACACCAGGAAGGCCAGAGGCAGACCATTTCAGGAACATCATGTACGTGTTCAAGGTGAACCAGGTGAAGCTGGGTGATAAGGACATGGGAATTCATTATACTGCTCTACTATTGTGTGTTGGAAATTTTCCCTAAGAAAATGTAAAAAGAAAAAGCCTGTTCCCCACGGGAACCTAGTCAAGACATTTCCTGAACAGACAGCGGATTCCAGGAGCAGCTTAGGGTAATACAGCTCTCTGCCCATCCCAGGTCATGCTTCCCAGCAAAGGGATGCCTCTGGGAAGGATATAAGGAGTGCTCGATCTTGCCCACACTTTTGATGACTTTATTGAGTCGATTCTGCATGTCCAACAGGAGGTTGTACCAGCTCTCTGACAGTGAGGTCACCAGCCCTGAAGAAGCAAAGGGAACAGTGAGCTGCAGAGTGCTCCGGAGCCCATAGCGAGTGAGCATTTTCTACCAAGGGCCGCCCAGGAAAGCAGCACAAGGAGGGACAAGCTGGCCGCAGCCTCCTCTAGTAAGCTCCTAGATCGTGTCCAATTGCTCTCCCTCATCCCTCAGAATGGTGCTCCCAGGAAGGAGGCCTGTGTGGAAGTGGCCCTGCAGCGATCAACCTTACCAATCATGCCATTGACGGTGCCGAAGAGGACTGAGCCCTGTGTGGGGGTGGAAGTTTCACCCAGATTCTGCATAACCAGAGAGCCGTGGCAAAAGACATTGACAAACTCGCCCAGGTGGAAGAGCCCGACCTCCTGAAGGTGTTGCCGCTCCTCATCAGTGGTGGCAGCGCTGAAAAGCAGTGTGAGACTCACCACCAAAACCTCCTGTCCCCATCACGAGGCCCCGACAAGGACCACATGCAGTGGACACCATGTGCCAAGCTTCCCTGGTGAACCCACACACTCCACAGCAGAGGAGCTGGTCTAAGAGGGTCATTTTTATGGCCTCTGATGCTCTCATGAAAATCTCTACCTCTGTGAAGGAGCACCCGAGCCTGAGAGAGCACCCAACGTCCTCATTCGCCAGAGACCCAGGGGCTCCGGCCCAGCCCCGCATTCCCATAGCTGGCCACTCACCTATCCTTCTGACACACAAACAAGTTAAAGGCATTTTCAGCCCCCAGGAAATTGTCATCGTCCAAGATTTCCACAGCACTCATCCAGTTGGGGTTAAAGTCTCGAGCAATCTTAAAACAGATAAGGTGCAATAAGAAAATAAAGTCAGCAGTCTGCACGGAAGCCAGTTCTGGGACTCGTCTTCCTTTAGCCAGAAGCCAAGAGCCTGCCCTGCAGGAGATACGGGCCCATGACTAACGACTGCCACTCCAGGCGCCCTCCCCCTACCTCTGGCCAGCACAGCCCTTTTGGTGCAATTGCCCAGAAATGGAGCCTACTCAGAGGTGAAGTTGGGGGTCTCCAGAAATACTTCATCGATGCAGAACGTACGCTCCAGGGAAAACACCTCTGCCCCACGGGGCTTGATTACCCCTCACCAGCACAGAAACACGTGCAGGGTCCCGGCTGAAGCAAGAAGTCTGCCCCACCCCCCACCTACCTCTTCGAAGTTTCCCTCCATGGGCTTGTAGGCGAGCAGCAGCACGGAGCGCATCAGGTCGCCCACCAGGATGAAGTCGCCCTTGGTCTTCAGGTAGAGGGCCATGATGTTGTTGTAGTGATTGCACTCCGTGCGCAGCTCCTTCTCTGTCGTCCACTCGTAAAGCCGCACCTGGGAGGGCGGAGCCCGTCTCAGCCCGAGGGGCCCGGATCCTCTCAGAACGACTGCCCCCTTCCCCTATCCTCCATCTGCAGCACCATTTACCACAGTGTAACACGGGATGTGAAATGGTGTGATGTAGGACTTGATGGACATTTTTTATTTTAGTTTTATATATTTATGAAATATGAAAATAGAGCAAGCACATGAAACTAATAATACAAAGTTTTCCTTTACATAAAAAGTGAGTCAGTATAAAGACAAATATTAACCAAATAGTAACGCAAGCAATACTATGGATATGACAAAAGATGGTCCTCTTAGGACTGAAGTTTGGCACCTGACCCACAGAAATCTCTCTGGAAGAGAAGACCCATCTCCAACAAGATCACCCCCCAACAAACTGCCTTTCCTGAAGCCCTCTCAAAACGCGTACATTCCTGGAACCTCTGATGTGAACCCAGTGAGCAGAGACAACGGAAAGGAAAGTCCAGCAGAAAAAAATGCTGTCCAATCACTAAAGGACTCTAGAGCACTAGAGTCTGTGACCACCCCTCCACCCAAAAGGGAAAAGGACTTTTTTTTTTCCCTCTGCTGCAGTGTTTCTTCAGTGTCCACCACATCTCCAAACAAATGAAGATGCTTTATCATCTGCGGACAGAAGGACAGATACTCGGCACAAACCGGTCCCAAGGCAGACACACAACTCCCCGGAAAAGCCCGCCCTGGCAGACCTTTCAGGGTCCAGGTGGCTCCCCCCATGGCCTCTGCACACAGAGAAACTCCTGGACAGAACATATGAGACCATGATTTCTTGAGATGTCCCCAAAGAACCCTAGCCCCAAAGGTGTGTACTCCAAGAGTCACCTGTAATAATTACAGCGGGAGGGTGGAGGGTACCCACAACACCCCATCTTTGGGTAAG